AAAATATTTATGCTAAAAGTTAAAAAATAGAAAAAAGTTTGATTAGTAAACTAGAAGTTTTGGTAATTGCAATAGAAAATTTTGAAGCACTAGAGGAGACTGAAGAGGTAGGACTTATCCACACCAAAATAACTGGTTAAAAAGAGGGGTATTTTAAGCAAACCAATTATTAGGGCCCAAGAAAAAGAGGGGGCAGGCTTTAAGAGGGAGGGGGACCGTTATTAGGGCTAAGAGAGAGGGGGTGGGCTTAGAGAGGGAGTGAGCACCTATACAAACCAGTTATTAAAAAGGGAGCACTTATACAAACCAGTTACTAGGAAGGGAGCACCTATACAAACCAGTTATTATGGCTCAAGAAGAGAGAGATTAAGTCCTATTAGTGAAAAGAGAAGTGTCACTTTGGTAAGTTACTCAAACAAGTTTAAAAGAGGGAAAATAACGGGTTGGCATTTTTTTTAAGGGAAGATGGCGGGTTGGCATTTTTTTTAAGTGGGGAATAGGGGAAATGGCGGGTTGGTATTTTTTTTAAGCGTGCAATAGGGCAGAGAGACTCGCGATAGATTTTACAAAGACTGCTCGTCAATGGGGGTAATAGATTTTTCATCTCTCAGCACACGTAATGAATTTGGTGATTTTTTGAAAAATTTCGGGTAATCTCTTTCCATATTCTTACTATTAAAGTGTACCCATACAGTGTAAATCTCATATTTCCTTGTAATCTATTGTCATGTAATAGATTTTCAGATACCCAAACGGCCACTAAGGGTATACACCACCAAGTGGTGTAGCCTAACAAAACCCATTAATAATTATAGGGTTATGTTATGTTATGATGCTCACACTGTAGTACTTTACATTTTATAATTATACTCAACAAATATATATATACATATATATATATATATGGGCAATGATTTCATGCAACTATTATATAGTAATATGATGCAATAACCTTAAAAAACCATCTTATGGCCATTTGTTTGATCCAAATGTTGAAATATACACTCTTTTCCTTCTTATGAACAATCACAAAAAAAAGAAAAAACTGAAAACACAACTTAGAAA